TAGGGGAACTGATCAACTACACTGGCCGTAGTGTGTGTTTGTGTGTGTGTGTGTGTGTGTGTGTGTGTGTGTGTGTGTGTGTGTGTGTGTGTATGGGTGTTTCCCAGAAGTGCTTCTGTTGAGTTAGACATATGCTGGAATAGTTGGCGATTTATTCAAACTTATTCAAAGCACACACATTTATCTCTTAAAGCACTACTCTGATAATTATTCAGATTATTGATAATAGCATGATGATCTGGTCATGTGGAGGGTTGTTTTACTTCCTCTCTGTGTTAGGGGGCATCACTGAAGCCAGAAATGTTGAGCGGCTGGTGTTCCTGGCTAAGAACTTGAACGTCTAGTTTGATCAGAGTTCAGATGAAGAGAGAGTTGGTTATTGTGAAGAGTACACATTATTACTCTGTTCTTGTGTTATTACACTGCTTATTTTTGCTTTGTTGTGCACTGATAAGTAAGATCTGTAGGTTTTTTGCAAGATAAAGATGTTGAGAATGCATAATACTCTCCCATGTCTCTTTCTGATAAGAATACCATTTACTTATTATATTATAAAGATATTAACTTTATTCTCATGCTAAAGGCACAGGACTGGCTACTCCTCACAGTATGTACCAAAAAAAGCGTATTATACGGCTATGCTATACCGTCACCGTTTAAGAGATGAAAAACACTGTGATATTAATTTTAGGTCATATCAACCGCCCCTACTCTGTGTTTTATATACTTCACACCCATGAAACAGCTCTGAGCACATCTCTGATGGCCCTTTTTGTCGAGTATAAATGTAATTGAAGCTGTATTTCACAAACGACACAATTCAGGAGCAAAATAGGCTATTCTGAAAGAAAAGGGTTCATAATCAGCAGTAATTCTCCTTTATGTGTGTTATTGTAGACCTGTACTCATTAAAGCAGCTCTCTGGCACCGCTGGATGCACCTATATAGCGAATAGCATGATTTCTCTGCGCGTTCCGCGTCTGGTGTGAACACAGCATAATGTTTACACTTGGTGGGCTGAACCAGCATTAAAGGCACAGTTCACACAAACAGCTACAAGGTGCTCAGAGCTGTAAAATCACAAATCCTGCAAGCTCTAATCAATACTCTGATGGGTGTTTGAGCTGAAACTCTACAGACACATTCTGGAGACACATTAGACTGATGTTAAATCTGGAAAAGGGGTAAACTAGGCGCTCTTTAAATCCCAGCACAGTCACAGTTTTAGTTGGTTTATATTAATCCGTCTTCTTTAGGTCGTGTTGTTTCTTTGTTTGGGTTTGGAATTTATTTGTTTTTACAATAGTGATGTGGTTATGGCAGAAATATATTATATTGCAAAAAAATGTGCAGCATTTAAGAAAAAATAAAACAGGCTCTTCACCTTGAATTAATTGTAAATTAATGATTTGTTTTGAATCGTGAATCGGGTGAATCGTACATCCATATTAATTATCCATAATTAAATATAAATAATTACATTCTATTAATATTTTTGTATGTGTAATGGCAACACGTTTGCATGCAGAGCTGTTTCTCTGTCTGCATGTAGTGCTGTGTGTCTGTATAAAATGCTTTCATTCATTTATCAAAAATGCAGCATTAGCTTATTATTAATTATTATTATTATCGGTTATTATTATTCCAGCCATGTAAAAGCAGCTGACATTTGTTTGTAGATCCTCGAAGGTGATTTTCTGAGATTTGAATACTGTTTTTGCTGTTTATTTGTTTAACATTTGCAAAGATGCAGATGTGTTCAGGTGTGTCTTCAGGTGTGTGTCTTTGCCAGTAACGTGCAGGTTTTCATTATTTGGTTAATTTATTCAATATGCAGCATTATTGTTCATAACAATAACAAATAATAATAATCATTAAAAACATTATTGGTATTTATCCAGAGCATACAGAATCCTCCATACAATGCAGAAGAATTGACACGGTGTTCTATTAATATTATTTATATTCATATTTATTTATAATTATTTTTTCATTACTAGTAAAGTCATGGAGGACGAGATCAGTACAGAAAGAGACTGACGCACTGGGGGAAAGTGTGTGTGTGTGAGTGTGTGTGTGTGTGTTTCTGGAGGCTTTCGAAAGACTGACTGTGTGTGTGTGTGTGTGTGTGTGTGTGTGTGTGTGTGTGTGTGTGTGTGTGTGTGTGTGTGTGTGTGTGTGTGTGTGTGTGTGTGTGTGTGTGTGTGTGTGTGTGTGTGTGTGTGTGTGTGTGTGTGTGTGTTTCTGGAGGCTTTCGAAAGACTGACTGTGTGTGTGTGTGTGTGTGTGTGTGCGCGCGTGTGTGTGTGTGTGTGTGTGTGTGTGTGTGTGTGTGTTAGCAGCATCTGTTGCTTCACAGTGTCCAGAGGGACGAGAGTGTTTCTGAATCCAGATCAGCAACAGGACAAGATGTTTCTCAAACCCTTCTCAGCTTCTGTCTCTCCGTTTCCTCCTGTACTTGTCAGATTTTTGGGCATTTGGGGTTTTTCTTCTTCTGCATTTGAGATTGAGTGCGAGTGAGATGTTCCTCAGCAGTAGGCATGGGATGATAGCCGTTTTCAAGGTATACCACGGTTTGGAAAAGGTTTTAAATCGGCAAGATTGTCTGCTATACCGTTCCTGAGGTATGTGTAAGAGTGTTTATTTACTTGTTTTTCAGCTTCAGTATCGGCAGCAGAAAAATATCCAAAATATGCTGCTGTGGGTCTTAAATACATTTACACAGGTCATCATATTCATTTATTATCCATGTAAAGCTAAAGCCAATCAGTACAACCAACACATCCATCTGAAAAACCTTTAACAAAATGACATTATATTTAACAATACGGTTTGATTGTCTTCCTTTCTATAAGATTTGTTTCAAAGTTCTCCATGTTTTCATGCTTTTATGCATAAAATGGTGCAGTAATGTAGTAAAGCTTTTAAAACGGAGTCATTCTGATGGTCTGTAATTTAATATTGTGTATGCTGCATTGCATTTGTGAGAAATATTCTGTTTTGGTTTGATTTTCAGAAGACTTTTAGATTAGTATTTTATTGTGAGTGTCGATTAAATAAATGACACCAAATAAAGCATTTTACAATAATCTAGAAGTTAAAGGTGTAGTTACCCTCAAAATAAATATCAACCTTGATTTAGACCTCAGAATTCTGAAAATATTACATCAATGTTGTGCATGCATGTTGTTATTTTAGCTTTTAAAACTCGCCTTTTTTAAACAAAGTTTGTGCTAATAAAAATATGTATGCAGATAACTAGAGTTTGCTTGTTTTGACATTATTTAAAACATGTGGTTGAGAAATATTCATTCATTCATTTTCTTGTCGGCTTAGTCTCTTTATTAATCCGGGGTCACCACAGCGGAATGAACCGCCAACTTATCCAGCAAGTTTTTACACAGCGGATGCCCTTCCAGCCGCAACCCATCTCTGGGAAATGGTTGAGGAAAAAAACAATTTAAATTTTAATCGGGCAAGTGAAAAAATCCAATGGTTATTCCAAAACATTATTAGCTTTTTGCCCTGTGATGGTCTGAAATGACGATCAGATTCTGCTCACTCGGGCTGATCATTAATGAAGGATGTTTTACAGGCCAGAGCTCAGAGCTCAGGAGAAGAAGCAGTGATGCTGACACTCTGCTTCAACACCACTGAGAGCTCTGTTAGTGTAAATCTGCCTGATTTACTAGAGCAGGGTCACCAATCTCAGTCCCCTGCAGGGTTTAGCTCCAACTTGCCTCAACACACCTGGCTGATTGTTTCAAGTATACCTGGTAAGAGCTTGATCAGCTTGTTCAGGTGTGTTTGATTAGGGTTGGAGCTCAAATCTGCAGGACACCGGCCCTCCAGGAACAAATTTGGTGACCCCTGCACTAGAGTATCAGCATCTGTGTTTATGTACACCTCTGCAGGTGAAGTGTAGTCAGAGTATAATGGTGTCGCAGGGGTTAGGAGAGTCATTTACTCGTCAGTTTTTGATTTTCACACCACTCTTCTGATTGGGGAAAAGGTGAAGGGAGAGGAATACAGGAGTACAGTTTTATTTTTGGGTGAACTAACCCTTTAACTTGATGCGGTTTTAGCTGATGTAAGGCATTTGTTTGTAAATGAGCTCTTGAATATTTGATGATATGTAAATGAGCTCTCTTTTGAATATGCGCTGATATGTAAATGAGGCTGGGTTTCAGTAGTTTGTCTTGTCTCTGGTGTCAGTAAATGATCTTGAGGAAGAGTAAGGATAATTTTGCGCTGATGTATTACTGAAATGCTTTGAAATTCAAATGTTTAGATGTCACTATCAGTCTGTGAGTCTCAAAGATATCTGTAATCTAGTGTCTCCAAAACAGAGACAATATAAACATCTAGAGTTTGCAGGATTGTTTGTTTTTGCCTCCTCATACTTCAGTTTCTCATCTAACCTTCTGACCAATCAAATGCTCTCGAGTATCTGACATGCCCCGCCCATTCTTTTTTAAAGGGAGGAACTACTATATGCCACGCCCTCCCTTCATGTTCATACCCCAATCAAAGCAAAACACTGACTGTGATGCAACACTCGGGATCATTAATATTCGTGCAGCATTTGATTGGCCACAAGATGTCTTAGTGAGATTACAGCAATGCTACACGCTTCCTGAGTTTAACAGCTGATTGTGTTCATATTTAGTTTCCTTCATTTGAGATTACAGCAAATCTCCTGTAATTATTACTCTCTGTGTGTGTGTGTGTGTACGTGTTTTTGTGACATATCAGGACACAGATCTGTATAATGACATGGGTATGACACAGGTATTACTAAAAGCAGGTGAAATATGAGGACATTCATTTCTCAAAATGCTTCTAAATCCTACAGCATGAGTTTAATCAGAGAGTAAAGCTGCACACTGTCTGCTGTGATGGTTGGGTTTAGGGGTGGGGTGTGGGCAATACAATATACGGTTTGGACTGTATAAAATGAATGGAAACCTATGTAATGTCCCCACTTTTCACAAAAACAAACGTGTGTGTGTGTGTGTTTAGGTTTGTCCCGCTGTGTGCTGTCTGCAGTGCTGTTGGTGATGCGGGAGCGGGATCTGCAGCTTCAGCCCAGCGTGCGGCACTGGAGCCCGAAGCATGTGGGCCGCTGGCTGCGCGAGGAGGGCTTCTGCGAGTACGTGGACCTGCTGTGTAATAAGCACCGTCTGGACGGACGCAGCCTGCTGGCGCTGAGCGAATATGACCTGCGCTCGCCGCCGCTGGAGCTCAAGGTGCTGGGAGACATCAAACGGCTGATGCTGTCGCTCCGAAAACTGCAGAAGAAGAACAGCGACGTGCTGGAGGAGCTGGGGCTGGACACACACACTGCACAGGGCGGAGCAGGTCAGCACACACACACACACACAAACAAAGTGATGCAGTGTGTGTATGCTTGCTAAAAAGGTCTCTAATCTAGTGTTGAGCGGGGAGAGTGTGTCAGACATTATCAGGAGGCTATTCCAGAGTTTAGGAGCCATACATGAGAAGACTCGACCTCCTTTAGTGGACTCTGCTATTCAGAAGGCCTGAGTTTAAAGATGTTGAAGAGCGGGTGGGGTTGTAGTGAGACACAAGCTGGTCAGATAAGCAGGAGCTGGGTTATTTACAGCTTTACAGGGAAGCAGCAATAATTGATGATCAATACAGAACTGAACAGCAGGAGAACACTGGGAGACGTGGACATATCTGCTGGAGCTGCAGCTTCACTGACTGAAGGTTATTAATAGAGGATGCTGGACCACCAGCCAAGAGCATTACAGTCATCTAATATAGAGCTCATAACATCATAACCTGGCTTCTTCCCAGAGTGAGAGCATTCTTCATAACTTATTTGAAGATATTGCTCAGATGAAAGAAGGCAGATTTTATGACCTGGGAGATCCGATGTTCTGGAGGTAGGTTGCTCTCTAATGGAGTGTTTCCACTGAGCGGTACGGCACACAGGGTGTCTGTGTGGTCTTAAAAAGTCTTAAATATCAAAAACTACATTTTAGGCTTTAAAAAGTGTTAAACTCGCTGAAATATTGTGTTGTGGGTCTTAAATCATTTTAAACAGGTCTTAATTCCCATATGTCCAAGTAAAGCTACCCAATCTGGCCAACACTCAAGAACAAATCCATCTCAAAACTGTGCAATTAATCGAAAATCCGGTTTCCATTTTGGCTTCTAACAATTATGAAAACTATTAATGGAGATAAAGGATTATTGCATCATATACCGCCCTCTTCCGCTTGTACACGTGTTGCGCTGCAGAGCTCAGTTTCACTGCGCATCGTTCACTGATGTACATTACAATCATTCATGTTTTCAAAAGCGCGAATGAGTCCGCGGTGTACACGCGCAGCATGCGGTCTCATTCACACACCTCAGAGACGAGCAGAGCACACACACACATCTAAAGTCATCTTAATGTGAGCGCTTTAATGGGCAAAAGTGTGTCAGAGCGCGGTGTTCAGTGATTATTCATATTAATCCTCATTTGTGTATTAAACAAACGAGTTGAGAATCAAAAGACACGTGAAGGAGAAACCATTAAAGCGCAGCGCGCAATAATCCTGCTGCTTTTATCATTGATCAAACAACAACAGGAGAAAGTCCCTCACTGCTCCTGACTGGAGGACTGCTGCAGCTGCAGTGTGTTTCTGACAGTGAAGATGCTCACGTTTGTTTCATCTCTTTATTCTATTGTATTTATTTCCCTGTCCTTATCTACAGGAGGAAAATAACTGCATACAGCTGAAGTCAGAATTATTAGCCCTCCTGAATTATTAGCGACTCTTTTCCCCACAATTTCTGTTTACTGGAAAGATTATTTCTTCAACCCATTTTCCAAACATAACAGTGATAATAACTCATCTCTAATAACTGACTTCTTTTCTCTTCACCATGATGACAGCACATAATATTAGACTAGATATTCTTCAAAATACAAGCATTCAGATTAGAGTTTGATTCAAAGGTTAGGGTAATTAGGCAAGTCATTGTATATCAGTAGTTTCTTCTGCAGACAATCAAAAATATATATAACTTATGGGGGCTAATAATATTGACCTTTACATTTCAAAACATTTAAACCTGCTTTTATTCTAGCCAAAATAAAACAAATCAGACTTTCTCCAGCAGAACAAATATTAGAGGAAACACTGTGAACAACTCCTGAATCTGTTCAACATCATTTGGGGAATATTTATAAACGGTCATCATAAATTTACAGGAGGCCGAATCATTTTGACTTTAACTGTAATCGTTTTGAATAATCGTGATTATAATTATGAGCAAAATAATCATGATTATGATTTCCCCCATAATGCAGCAGCCCTACTCAAAACATCTTATTTTTCCTGTCTGAGATTTTTACTGCACAGAGAGACGATTCTCAACTGCTTTTCACAACAAATTCTCTAAATTAAATTAAATTAAATTAAAAACTGAAGCAACACATCCCTTTACACGATCTTCCAGAACTACAAAAACTATTTACTGAAGTAGCCAGGCAAACAGAAGAAATCCTAGCCCTGTTTAAGTCTAAAATTACATTTATAATGATCTTAGAAGGGTCTTAAAAAGCCTTACATTTGATTTGAACACACCTGCAGAGCCCCTGGGTACGGTTCAGTATGCTTTTATGGCTGTTTCCACTGTCAAAAGGTACCAAAAGCAAACCGTGCCGTACCACTTTTTGGATGCACTTTTGAAAGAGCACCTAGCGCAACAATAGAGAACCAAAAGGCGGAGCTAGACGCACAGCTGAACGCTATTGGTTTACAGAAAAAACGTCACTCACACATACACAAGCAGGAGAATGAACACAAAGGAAGTGCCATGTTTTAAACACACAGCTGAGACATTACACCATAATATGCCTGAAAGCCACAAAGCCATGAAGGTCAAAGTCTGCCGTGTCCTGCTGCTGTTTTACTAGAAGCACAGCACACGTCTATATCTGAAATAAGGAACTTGTTGAGCTGATTATGATAGCGCGTGCGTGAAGTGCTTCTGACACCTGATGTATTCAGACATGGACCGACGCGAGAGTGAAGCGCAACAGAACACAGAAGCCGAGGATTCCTCCAGCTAGAGCTGACCTGAAATCAAGATCTCCATAAACTGAACATTGACCTCCATCACGATTAATAAAGCGTTATTTATTGATTTATTGATGATTTTTTCAGGTTTTGTTCAGTAAACACACTCACTCGCATATTACGAGAGTTCTGAATGAAGGGTGCATTACCTGATCTTAAACGATTGAAGGAAACCTGCAGCATCTGTGAGTGAACATCTCAGGGTAAATCTGGCGCAGTCATCGTCAGTGTCGCGCAGTCGTGTGACGTGCAGTTACAGTTTTTGAGTAGTGCGCAGGTATACGAGCTATATATCATGTGACTCCACACGCGATAGTAAAGGAACTGAGACACATTGACCTGGAAAATGAGATGGAGTATACAGCAGTCTCTGAGTGACGATTTCCATCACTTCTCCATTAATCGCCTCGCTCAACTTTCAGCAAACAAACCATGAACACACCGCCATGATGAGCTCTGACCATCAGCTGCTGGACTACAGAGGCTCCAAGTGCTGCTGCAGATCACACACACACACACACACACACACACACACACACACACACACACACACAGATGATGCTCTGCTCTGACGCTGGCCTATATGTCCTGCTGTTTCTGAACAACTCAATGTCTCTGTGTGGAGTTTATCTGTAATTACTATCATAGCGGGGACTGTAAGGGTCTGTGTGTGTTCAGATATGATCATTTATTTACTTTATGTAATTGCAGACGTTACAGTAGGCTATTGTGTGTGTGTGTGTGTGTGTGTGTGTTGTCAGGCGGTGTGGACTGGTTGTGTAACGGTGACTCCGCTCGTGACTGTGACTCTGTGCT